TTTTGCTTGGTTGGATGTGGCTGTTCTGGCTTTTGTATTGGTCTGAGGCACAGCAACTGTTTATCTGGAATCAATGGTGAAGTTGATGTTTCTCTGGGTCACTGAGCCGTGAACCTTCCTACTCCACCATCATGTTGATGCCGCTTTATCCTGCTTCTTCCTTAAATTGTTTCGCTTTTTCCACATCTTTGCTCTCTAAACTATAAATATTTTTAAGCCTAATAGCTCATCAATAAAAAATTTTATAAAATAGTTATTAACCCATATTTTCATGTTTTTTCTCACTGGCTTCTTTTTCATATTTCACAATATTGATTAATAACCACTTATTTTTGTCAACTTTTCCTTTTCTTTCCCGCGCTTCCCGGGTTTTGTCCAAAATACCCCTGCCCATTCCAAAGCCCTGAATTTTGCCCTTATGTTTTCTTCCAGATGTTTCACACTTTTAGGTTGTACATTTTTAGTGTTTAATCCTTTTTGAGTTGATTTTTGAAACTGGTGAGACAGAGGCTCAGTTTCATTCTTCTGCATGTAGTTGTTCAGTTCTTCTAGAACCATGTATTGAAAAGGCTGTCTTTTTTCCAATCCATGTTCTAGCCATGTTTGTCAAAAATTAGTTAGCTGGGGGTGTGTGGGTTGAGTTCTGTGGACTAAAGTGGTAAAGGATCAGTTTTTAGGCTTCTTTATTTAAAACATTTCTGATCTCTGTTTTAACATTCTGTAGCCTAGATTTAGAATAAAACTTTTTTCTAAAGCAATCTGTCACTGACAGCAATTTGATAAAGTGTATTTCCGTAAGTGGAAAATTAAAAAACACTTACTATTACTCCCTCTCTGATCTCTCCAAAATTCAGAAATTATTCACAATTGTCTTTATTTAATGACAATATAATTATTTACATAATTATATAAATTATAGGAGGAATCTTAAGGAATCTTATGAATATTAAAATATTTAGTACTACAGGTCAAAATCTAAAGTTGGCCTTGGGTTGGCTTCCTATTATCAAGGTTTCTAAAAGTCCTATCTGAGATTCTTTGTCAAAATTTCCAAAATTCCCACAAATTTAAAAAGAGTCTCTTTAGTTATTCTTGCTAGAATTATCCAAATAATCAAACCAAGCTTATTGATAATGCACCTTTGTTATAGATTGGTCTTACTGTGGTTATGATTAGTAAAAGTGGGAATAATTATAAAAATTATGTCTCAGAAATGATAGTACACCTGTTTATTGTTTTTGAGTTGTCATGGTCTACCTATGAACCATACTGGATTCATAACTCTTCTAATTTTTCAAATATCTGCCTACAACTCTCCAGGGTTGATAGGAGTTGCTTGTTCCTAAAGCCCTATAAACTAAAGCTGGAAAACTAGATGCAGATTTCAAGGAACATATCTCACATCTAACACTGAGGACCCCATAGAGACTTCAGCAAGCCACCAATGCCATAACCAGAGACATTAGATCTCTGAAACTGCTGACCTCATGTTGTGGAGTTTCCCGAGGCTGCTGGAGCAGGACTCTACAGCATCATGAGTCTCCAGCCCCTCTGATGCCTACCTGTTCACTGGACAGGATAATGCTGTGATTACAATCTCACAATCAATAGCTGCTATGGGTGACCTGACAGAACTTCAGCTAACAGATCCTCTGGTCCACCTAGTGGATAATCTTGACAACATCCCCGATGTCCTGCTAGCTGGACTTGTGCGGACATTCCTCTTTCTTGTCTGTAGGGTGGGCATGCTCTGCTTTGAGCCAATGCAGGCATAGAATGCTATTCAGTGACCACATCAGGCAGCACCAGTTCCCCCAGAGTCTTCCAGATTGTTTCATTGGTTCCCCTTAGGCTTGAGCTTTTGGTTCCCAGCCACTGTACAAATTGGATTAGTCGTGTTCCTGTTGGTTTTCATTGTATTATGTCCTTTAAATTCTGTATTTGTCTTCTTGCCCAACTTCTACAGGATCAACACTCCTAATAAAATATTGTTGGTCCAGCACTTCAGAATGATAACCAATGCCTATGGAACTCACACAATGAAACTTAACAAATGAACTCTAGGTAGATTTAACTTGAGACACTCAAAGTTGCTCAAATATGGGTAAGAAGGTTTGGGCACTGATCTCAACTCAGCAACCAGTTCCTTACATTGTGGGACCACACCAACCAGAACAGGTCCATATTAGCACCACGTGATAATCAAAATCTAATCACAGAATGGTTGATGAACAATGCTTGCAGAGAAAGTTCCTTGACAAAAATAAAAAAAGAAGTGTGAAAGTTGGCAGATTTAAGTTGGATCCATCTGGGCCAAATCCTAGCGATATAGAGCTGGGGAAGCAATAATGAGAAGGCTCCCGTGCACATCTTAACTGATATTACAAGGACACATGCACACCCATGTGTACAGTAGCAAAACTCAAGAGAGCTAAACTTGGAAGCAGCCTGCATGTCCATCAACAGATAAATGATAAAGAAAATTTGGTGCCTACACACAGTGGAGCTCTACTCTGCTATAAAGAAGGATAAACGAGTTATTTATAAGAAAATGGGCTCAATTTGAGACCATAATAAGTGAAATAAATCAGATATACACGTTTAAATATAGCATGATTTCTCTTATATGAGAAACCCAAGGTATAAGCAAATTAAACAAAGTAAAAACGGCTAGCAGGGAACAGGGAGGTCGATCTTTGTAAATGGGAAGGGGATGAAGAGATGCAGGGAAGGGGTGGGAGGAGTACAGAAAGAATTCAGATGTATTACATAGGTGTACCAGCTCCCCATGATGAATGTAATTGTTATGTGCTGCAGATATGCACTAATAAAAATAAAAACTTAAATAACAAGAACAATTGCAGTGACAGCTAATTGCACAAGGATAGCTAGAAGCAAAGGACAGCTACCAGCATGAGAAGAGCTAATGGTAGGAGGACAGCTGGCTGCTTATAGGAGCATTTGGCTGGAACCATATCACAGCCCAATTCAACAAAACAACACACTATGTCTTTAAGGTTACAAATTTTACTTAGTAATCACCTGTACCAATAAACTTTCTTCCACAGCAAGGTATGTAGCTTTCATCTTGCCTGATGCAATGCCAGCCTTTTCTTTGTTCTCTGGGTGTACTCAAGGCCATCTGCTTGATGAATATGTCCTTAATTAAAATTCTATTTTCTTGTTTTATTCCCAAAGAGATACATGTTCCTTTATTGGAGATTTGTGTCTGTGTTTTTCTCAAATGTTAATATTATAATAACAGGGCCCACTCAAATGAACCATAATTATCTCTTAATCTTTAATATTTATATTAATTATATTGTCATAGTCCTTTATACCCCATATTAAGTGGCATTTACAAGTTCCAGGGATTATGCATGGGTCTTTTGGTGGGTCATTACTCTTACTGTCACAGAGATAGAGAGGAACATTCAGCCCTATCTTTGAAATTTATCCGTATGTCTAAAATAATTCTTAAGTAGAATTATTATTTAAAGTAAGATTAGAAGTGGTCCTAACAGGAGAAACATCACCATAAAGATATCACCACAAGAAGTGAATACTGTGTTATACCATACCGCATCACAAATATCAGCATGAACATCTTAGCACATTCAAGCACTACTTCACAATTTCTGAGATGTGGAGGCATCTTATTGTTCAGAGAAAAAAGAAGGTATGGGTATACATCTTGTGGGTAATTCTTGTATTGTAATAGGACCCGTTGTGGATAGAAATTAAAAACATAAAATTGTGCATTACATAAGCACACTGATTGTATATTTACTACTAATAGATATTGTCATGTTTATATTTTAAATGGTCATTTAGAATAACTTAATTTAATCATGTAGTTCATACATAGAAAGTAATTTTCCAAACAGAATCACACATTAAACATTTATATAATCACATATTTACTTTCTTTTTATGACTCACTACATCACATCTATTTAATGTGTTCCTTGCTCCTGAATGAGACACCATATCAAAGATTATGAGAGGATTCCCTTAGTGAGGAGAGGTCCAAGAAATCACAGTGTCTACAAGTGGGGAGGGCAAGCACTGAGAGTACAGATTATAAATTTTTTAGCAAAGCAGAAAATGTGTGTACCCTGGAAATGTCCCACAAGTCTGTCCAGAAGGTTTGTGTTAAGGATGACTCGCTATAATCCACAGCGGTTCAAGGATTCATTGTAACAATGCAGTTGGATTCAAAACTTAATTACTTTATTCATTCATTTAACACACAGTCATTGAGACTCTACAAAGAAACAGGCATCTTTTTAAGTGCTGAGCAGAAAGTCACTGCATTCATGGAGTTTAAATTCTAGCTTGAGGTGATAATAAGAGAGCAAATAAATACACAGCAGGGAGGTGCAGGGAAGAACAATGAAGAGTAACAGGGCAAAGGGACAGTGCGAATGGGGAGAGGAAGTGAATTTTGATAGCAGTGTTCAGGAAGCTGGCAGGGTAAACAGTTTCGAAGAGACCTGTCTGCAGTGTGGGAACCGCCCCTCAAGGGAGCAGCAGGCACTTAGGCCCTGAGGCAGGAATGTGCTTGTGGAAGAAATATCAAGATTGGGGTGAGAGACAGGAGCGATGACAGACCATAATACTTAACCACATTTAGAATTAATGAGCATTAGTCATTTCAAAGTCCTTGCATTTAAAAAATACCATGATATACTATTTAATGATGCACTGATAGATTAATATATTTTACAATGCCTTTAGTTTCCTCCACTTTTATTATACTGTGACTATTTGATCATATTGAAAAGTAAGAAGTGAAAATATAGGTTCTAGAGAATGACTTCAGTCAAGCTAGAAATATTAATTCATTAAAATGCTTTCACTCTGTGTCTCTCAATAAAACATGCCAACACTACAACAATACTTAAAGCTAGGTTACTATTTTTTCTTGTATTAGAAGTAAAGAAAAATGGAATGTTAGCTGTAAAGTTGTAGCTTGATATCTCCATTAATTATTTAGGTTATTCATTGGTGTAAGTATATCGTGTTATCCCCATCAAAACACAAACTGCATGGAACCGCAAAAGACACAGAATAGACAAAATAATCCTGAAGGGTGGAGACAGGAGTGAAAATCCAACAAAGCTAGAGTTATCACAATACCTGACTTCAAAATCTGCAGCAGAAGTTTAGCTACAAATGCAGCATGATCCTGGCATAAAAAAATCAACACTAGACCCAGGGAATGAAATGGAGGACCTAGACATTAAACCTGATGCATGCAGACAGCCAAGTTTTGACAAAATGACAAAGAACATATACTATACAGAGAACAGTCTCTTCAATGCATGGTCCTTCCAACAACCTTTTTGAATGCACTCTTGACCTCCTTGTTCCTCAGGCTGTAGACCATAGGGTTGAGCATGGGGATGGCCATGGTATAGAATACAGAGGCGACTTTGGCAGTGTCCATGGACTGGCTGGAGCTGGGCTGAAGGTACATGAAGATGGCTGTGCCATGGAAGATGGAGACTGCTGTGAGGTGGGAGGCACAGGTGGAAAAGGCTTTCTGGTAGCTTGCAGCTGAGCGCATTTTTAAGATTGTAACAAATATAAATAAATAGGACACCAAAGTAACTAGGAGGGCAAAGAAGATATTGAAACTGGCCATGCACACAAGAACCAGCTCATTGAGATGCCTATCAGAGCAAGTTAGAGCCATGACTGCCGGAACTTCACAGAAAAAGTGATGGACCACATTAGACATACAGAAGGAGAAACTGAATGTGTTGCTTGTGATGATGGAGGCTGTCAGGATACCTCCAAAAGTGCAGCCCAGGGTCAGGCCTGTGCACACACTTGTGGTCATGGTGGTGGTGTAATGCAGGGGCCTGCACACTGCTGCGTAGCGATCATAGGCCATCGAGGCCAAGAGATAATTTTCTACAGTGGCAAAGACTGCAAAGAAGTATCCCTGAGCAGCACAGGCATTGTAGGAAATGACCTTGTTTCCTGTAAGCAGCCCAGCCATGACTGTGGGAGTGACAACTGAGGAGGAGCAAAAATCCACCAAAGACAGGTTGCCCAGGAAATAGTACATGGGAGTGTGCAGACGAGGGTCCAGGAGGATCAGCAGGAGCATCCCCAGGTTCCCAGCCACAGTGATGGTGTAGATGAGTGTGATCACGATAAAGAGGGGGACTTGTAATTCTGGGGCATTCGTTAGTCCCAAGAGGATGAACTCTGTCACTTCTGTCCTATTCCTCATCAGTGTTATTTGGGAATCAGGAGATACCCTGAAGCAAAGGGAAGTAATGGAAAATGCTTTAAACATAGTAGTGACTGCAGTGAAACTGAAATGTTTCCATATCATGTACATTATTTTATTATCCCAATTATATGTGTTTCAAAATTCTCATAACTAAAGCATGAGCTTAACAACAAATTTTAATATATTAATTATTGATAAAGCTCCAGACTGTTGAATGAGGACACTTCATGCAACATCTCTACAGTTTTAAAGTTTTATATATTTGTAAGCTGAGATTTAAAATATTTAATATACTCTTCTACACAGCGATTCTGGAATTAATAAGGCAATCAATTCATTATTTTCTAGACTAGTAATTTCACAGTCATCTGTATAGCCAGTGTGCTGGGAACTGCTTTAAACACTTCTACATCTATATTCCTTGATTTCCCAACAAATTTATGAAGTTGAATTTAGACTGTGAGGTGCCAGAGGCTGAGTAATATATATTCATATTTATGGAAGCATTAATTGGTAAATCAAGCTTTGGTACCAGACAGAATGGTACCAAGTTTAATGATCTAAATTAGACTTAAATCAAGTGGAATTTGAATCAATTTACAATTATTCATTGTCCCCTTATTTAAAGCTGAGGATTTGGGTTTTAACAGTGACTTAACTGAGAGATCCGTGGGCAGCAGATGCGGTGAGATCACCGGGGATGTGCGTCTGGCTAACCGGCGGAGGTGACTCTGGATAGGAGGACAGCCTCAGGTACAGAGCTCCAGCCCTGGGCAGAGCTGCTTGCTAGCCTAACTGACAACAGGTCCTAATTAACTTTCTTGAATCAGATTCTCTTCATCTACAAAATGAAGATGTTAGTGTGTTAAGGGTTAGTGTGAAGATTAAACGAGACAATGCAGTAAAAAGGGTAAAATGCTGGCAAGTGCTAGCTGCACTCTTATCGTGAGGATGGAACGATCCTCACGGGAATATGTGTAGTTTGAGAAGGGTGGTGGTAACGTGCAGAGATTCAGGTGTGACGTTTGCTTTTGTTTTTCTCTGGGGCCACTGAGATTTTATGTGCCCCCCCCAGAAATGCACTTTCTGTTCACGTTCTGCCCATCTGATTGGCTGCTCTACTCGTTCTGTGGGAGCCATTCTTCTGTTCAGTTTCTTCTTAATGTCTGTATTTGAACTTCAGCTGAAAGAGTGTTCTTTTATCTCATTGCAATCACCCCACCTTTGAATGATGGTATCAAAGGTGAAAAGTTCAGTTTATGGGTTACCTTTGGCCTGCACATCTGTTCTGATTGAAATATCTAAAATTTAACAATTTTTTTATTTGAATCAGTGGATGTATAGGACCAGTAGTTTAAATGTTTATTTTAATTTGTGGCCTTTGGAAACATCCATCCTTTACTAACTCTAATTTCCTATTATTATCTTCCTATTTCTTTTTCAGTTTTACTTTACAAATCTAGCCCATGAGGATTTTATGTTTGTCCACCCAAATATACAAAGCACTTTAACACATACAATGTTTTGCAATATATCATAGGAGATTTATATATAAGTGCATGTATGACAGTGTGCTTGGGTATCTATGTGTAGTAATATTATTTTTTCTTATTTACCATTAAGTCCACTAACAATTTGTGACGATAAATGATATTCTACAACTCCATAAGTAGCTCAAGGGAGACTCAAGATTCCATACTAAAATCTATTTTTATCCTAGTCAAAATCTTGTACTTTTAGCCACATCATTTTAAATATACATAAATGTGCCAACAATCACGAGGTAATGGGATTATGTGTAAAATGCCGAAATGAAGTTCAGATTTTGCTAACTCATTAGTAGTTTGAAGAAGTGCTATTGCACTGTCTATTTTATTTTTCTAAATCTCCAATGAGAAATCAACAAGTTGAGAACAAATAGAAATTACCTCCTGGTCAGAGCATCGTCTGTACTGTTTAGGTTAAGAGTTTTAGGAAGCAGCAAGGTGACAAGCAAGACGTTTAGCAAAACTGAACTCTTTCTTGCTGTAGTTTTAGTATTTGTATTCCAGACTCTCCTTGGTGTTTTAGACAAATGCTCAAAACCTTGATTTCTGTGCTCAAATAACTCATATAGGGATAGTTGTTCCACTGCTTTTGCATGAATTACACTTTTGACTAAAAGTTTATATTGACTATAGAAGCTTACCTTAATGCTTTGGAAACAAATGATAGTCAGTCTCAAGCAGTGAGTTTGAAACCAGAAATTCTTCCATGAAATAATGAATTGTAGCTCTCTAGAGTGGCTCTCTTGTGGGTAGTAGTCACTGAGGTCTCAGAGGCAGGGAAGCAGGGAGAGAGAAAGACTCTCATATGCATCAAGTACTGAATCTACGATGCATCCTCCCCCCAGTTCTTATTGTTAAATAAACATTATAAAATCACCTCTCCACCATAATCCAGAATATCATTTTTGAAGCAAAGGGATGTTTACAAAACAACTTGCTAGGTGGTTATTACTTTGAAGTCTCTCAACATAATTTTAATTTGGAGGCGTTTTTCTTTATGATAGTGGGTGACTCAGCAAATCTTTAGGTTGGAGGAAGACTTGCAGGTATGAATCAACATCAACATGAAGATGAATACATGGTGGCTATAGGGTCTCAGCATCTATGCCCTCTGAAACAAAGTCACCGGGAATTATGTTAGACTTCAGGGACTTGTGCATGTAAAGGAGCAGTGAATTATGAGTACACAGAGCTCCCTTGGGGTATCCTTTCTTGAGGGAATCTACAGCACTTCAATTTTCTAGAGAAGAAGCAATTAAACTACATGTGGGCCTGAGCAGGATATGTTAGGTGTACATGCATATATTCGTATTACTTGGTATCTCTTATTTTAATTTGATGTATAGTTGAAAACTGTAGTGTGCACACACAATTTTTAGATAGTTCTAAAAATTTGATCAAATACAATTCATGTAACCATTGTAACAGTCGTCCCTAGTAAGTTTCCTCAGTTGTTATGGGCAACTGTCTCTCTTACCCACTGGCCCTGGCAAACACTATCTATTTTTTTCCATATAATTTTGCCTTTTGCAGATATGTTTTTAATTAGAATCCCAGAATGTGTTGTCTTTGGTTCCATTATATTCATCTAACACAATGTACCTGAGGTCAGTTTGTATTATCATCCGTATCATAGTGGTGGCTTTTAAGTGAGAACATTATACACATTGTTTATTTTTCCATTTGCTAGTTGAGGAACATTAAATGTTATTTCCACTTTGGTGATTACAAATAGAACTGATCTTCCTATACTATGCCATAAAGATTTAAGTTTGAGCATTGGTTCATTTCTTTTGAGTTAATATCTAGGATACTTCCTAGTTCAATCTGTGAAATCAGCATTGCCTCATACCAAAGTTAGACAAAACAAAGAATAAAGCTAGAGACCAATATTCCTCTTGAATATACATGAGACAACACTAAAAAATGCTAACAAACCAAGTGCATTAGTAAATTAAAATAACTACAAATGATGACTGAGTAGAATTTATTTCAAGAAGTCAAAGTGCCTCAATATATGAAAATCAATCAATGTAATAAACTATATTAATATAATGTGAGGACAAACATGATCATATTTGTACTGCAGGATAATCATTTGCCAAACTTTTACATTTTTTCATGACAAGCATACTCAGAAAGCTATGTCTAGAAATGAACTTCCACAAACTCTAAAGAACATTGATATCTATCTTTTATTTTTCTTTGTCTATATCTTAGATGAATTTCTTTCCAAAATCAGATCTCTTTAAGTAATCAACAGCTTGAACTTAATGCTGATGAGCCTATTTGTTTCAGAGACAATGGAGAGACAAGTATCAGATAAGATAAGAGAAGGAGAGTACTGTGAGTCGGAAATCAGAAATTCATTCTTAGAAGACTTATAGATAGTACTGGAGCAATTCTCTCTCATGTGCTTCTCAAAAAGTTTCCAAATTTTCTGAAGTATGAAGAGGTAGGAAGATCATTAATATGGAGCTAGGAAGCTTAGGTTTAAGACTTGCAGATGCCATGGATTTTTTCATGAACTTGAAAATTATTTAGTTTCTGCAGAGTTTAGTCTCAACTGTGGAATAGAGATGATAAAGCTATCTCTACCAAAAACCCCTCAGAATTATGTCTGCCAGGAGTAATTGAGGGTGTGTCTCTGCTGACTTTAGTAAAATGTTATACCTTCAGCATGAAACAGTGTAACTTTTACCTTGACATGTTTTTCTTCCCTGGAGTTGCAAATTCCTTACAGATACTCAGTTTGCTAAAATATTAGGCTCACTTGGAAAAATGTTGTCCAAAGGGGCTCTAGTCTTGTCGCTTTAAAATAATGTCACGAGGGACCACGATATGACGTCAGAACCTAATTAATGGGAATCAGGAGAAAATGGTATAAACATGGCCTTCTCTGAGGTACAGAAGCCTTTGAGGGCAAGAATTTCTCTCCATCACACTAATCTAGTAAGTAAGCAGTTAAATTATGTAAGGGATATAATTTTTATGTTGAGTAATACAGGTGCATTTGTGGTAATTGTTATTTATTTTTTCTTCCTTAATTTTCTCACATTGTCCTTATACACATGAAGTATGTTTAACCCATTTATATTTAATGGGTTATTGATATTTGTAACATATTTGTAATATATTCTGTAAATATATATTTGTAAAATTTTTCTATCTTTTTATTACTTTTCTCCTTTTCAATATATTATTTACTATAAGCCATAGGCTATTGGATTGCTAGAACATTGATAAATAAAATGCAAAATTTTTTCTTGTCAGTTGAGAGATATGACACAGGAGTCAGAGGTGGTGATTTAAATATGAATTAGGACCAATAAGTCAATTTGAGTATGTGGCTTGTGTCTGTGGGCAGATGGCTTCCTTTCTGTGTGGCCCGTCCTCAGCATGCCCTGTGGTGCTCCATCCATACTCTGGCTTGTACTGGCCCATATATTAAGAAAAAAAGAAGAAAGAGGTCACATGTCTTAGACTTAGCACTAGATTGTGGGGTAAGAGTATGCTCAGCTCCTGTGAAGGGCATTTAATTTCTCTGATGTCAGCACAGGTAAATGACAAATAGAAGTAAAATAAAAAGTGCCCAGTTCCTCCCCTTTCAGACAGTGTAAGTTAAAGGCTCGTTATCACAGTGGTTCCTGGAACATTGAGCAAAATTCTCGTAGATATAATGTACTTTCTAATGAAATCCTTCAGTGCTGTCCTTCCCTTCCATGACACAGCTCCCAACACATCATCAGTGTTTTCTGTTTTAAAAACGCAGCACGAAGCACATCTGCCTCCCATAACTCACTGTTGGTCTGTTTCTGAGCAACAGGACCTAACACCATGGGTCTCTCTTCTCCACAGGTGGGTCCTTCCCCATTCTCCTTATGATGGGGATTAGGCTGGAGGGAAGGTGGAGGAAGGTGCTGCTGCTGCAGATAGGAAAGAACAAAACCTGCTCCATTCCTTCTTTCAGATTCCCAATGACATACTTTGTGCCTCTGCCATCTTCTGACTGCTTTCATTGTACTGATAGATAGTAAACCAACCTGGAACATTTGTGTGTATCTGATAATGTCTTGATTTTGCAATCAAATGTCATTGACAGTTTATCTGGGTATAAAAATCTGGAATTGATATTTATTTTCTTTCAGTCTTTTTAAAGATACTAGTCTACTGTTTATTGTTTATGAAGAAAACTGATGTGAAGTAATTATAATTTTTTTGTAAAAATTGTTCTTGTTCTTATTTTTCCAATTTCTCAATAGATGATTTTTCAAATTAATTCTTTCCAATAGTGATATAGTTCTTCATCAAAGAACTTACATTTCAATTCAGCAAACGTTCATCCATTTTATGTTTATATTTATACTTTGCATTTATTTTTTCCTCTCTTCTTTCCATATAGCCTTCTCAATACGTGCTGCCTATTTCTTAATTTGTCTTTCTATTTTCCCCACCTCTTTGCTTTCCAAGCTTTCTTGTGAATATTTTGAAGCATCATCTTGCATATGTTGGTTCTAAATTTTATTTTATCTGGTCTAATATTTACCCTATTCATCAACATCAAAGGGTTTATGTCAGGAGCAATTCTACATAATATTGGGGAAAAATCATTTGATTAGGTCTAGTTCTCCTGCCTACAGGCCAGCTATGGCATTCCGAGACATAATTCCATTTTGGCCTCTGGTCACAACTGAGACTTCAATGGTCTGATGATGCTGTGATTCTCCAGGACAAGATTACACCAGCTGAAGACATCCTGGGAGGAAGAAATTCTTCATCTTCATAGTTCCTCATTGATCTAGGATCCATCCCCCCCACCATCTGTTACATTTATTTCTCCTGATACTGTACCAAACTCAAGTATTTGTTACATGTGTTTCTCCCGATGTACTGAATAAAGGTGTGGCAAACTCTGGGGCTTTCCTCTTTTCATTTTTCGCCCAGAGCAGCACTGATCAGGCCCAAAGCTCAGCTTCTTCTCAAAGTCTCATTTTGTCTACCTTTCCTGTAATTTGCCTTGTGCTGCCATGGCTCTCAGGAGACTAGGACTTACTGCAGAGGTTCTAGTAATGTCCCCTTTCCCTGTTGCCTACATGTTTATAGAATGGTTAATATATATTTTATTTTCATAATTTCTCATTGATTTCCTTTTCACATTTCTTGATTCATGGTGTTCATTAAGAACAATGTGCTTTTATTTTATTCATTTCTAGCACTTGAATTAATTTTATATGTTATCTTGACTGATCAAAAGATATTCAGACCAAGTTAAACATTATATTTGGGCATCTGTGGGGTTGATTCCAGAAGAGGTGAGCATGAGAATTGGGAGAGAGTAGAGATCATCCTCAGTGAGGTGGAAGGGGCCTTGCAGTCCTGTGAGGCAGAGGAAGGGTGAATGTATTCTGTGTGTTTGAGTGGGACGTCCATCTGCTCCTGTCCTGGGACATCAACACTCATGGTCCTCAGCTCTCAGACCTGGCCTGGAACTTATACTCATGGCTTCCCTGGTTGTGAGGCTCTGGGTTGGGGCTTAAGCTGTGCCAACAGCTTTACAGGGCCTCTAGTTCCCAGCCTGCATAGCAACCCACACCAAGCCCTATTCTAAATCTCTTCCTCCACATCTCTATTTATCCTATGAGTTCTGGACACTCTGAAAATTCTGGGTCAAGTTAATTAGCTTCTCTATATGTCACTCGAGTGGATTGTGAAGATTAATTTAGGGCAAAAGGATAGTTTCTTTCATAAGTAGAGTGTCTGTTTTATAAAGGTATAAGGGAAAGACTCTCTAACAGGACAACACTTATGCAAAAACCTGAATGACATAAGAGAATTTCACCCAAAATCAAGGTTTGGGGATTGATGAAATAGCAAGAAAATGAGTGGGAATAAAGTTAGATAAGAGAATGGTAGAGTGAGAAAGATAAAGTAACTCAACTTTAGCAGAAATGAAGGGGCATTGACAATTGCAAAACATTTTCAGAAAGATAAACGAATAGCCATATTAAGATGTCAGTGAATTTTTAAAATAATGTGAGAATAGATAGAAGTACATGGAAAAATGTTTTTATTTTTCCCTCTACTTTTCTGGTATTCTGACTACCTTATTCAAAATTTTAAACATGAATATTTTGGTTGTATAAAGCACTTGAGTCAAGGCAAAGATTAATTCATTTAGGATTCTTTATTTCTGAATATATAAAATGTGCCAATAAAAATGCAGATATATTCATTTAGAAGTACGGCACATTTACTGTGAGATTGACTCAAACAATACTCTTTGCCTAAATAAATAATGTTAGATATGAGTTAAATTTTTAATAACAACTAATTAATTAAGTTACTTTTTTTGTTTTTTGTTTTTTTTGGTACCAGGGATTGAACTTGGGTCCTTGTGCTTTCGAGGCAGGCACCGGAACCACTGAGCTAAATCCCTGGGCCAATTAAGTTACTTTTTATCAAAATTTAGCCACATTCCATTTATATCTGGCAAATTCTCCACTCTCATTTGTACATGATTGCATGAATGTATTTATAAATACGTTCACAGGCACAAGGATGTTTTTACATATGCTTATGCTCAAGGAAATACATGTGGAGTGAGTGAATTAATAAAAGGTCCTTAGTTTTTTGATAAGCAGGAAGCAAAATAACTTATGATTTAGCTTAGCTTTTTTGTTCACAAATGTCTCTGGAGACAATTCCTTCTCTCTAGAAAAGAAATAATCTTCAAAGTACTGAGTGTAATACTTCAGAAATCTAACTTCTATATGGACTTTACAATGAGATTCAGCATATGGACAAGACCTGACAGTCATGGAACCAGTTTCCTGTGTCTCCTCCTATGTTAAAATCTAAATCTTAAAGACAATTTTGCCTGCCAAATAACCTTTTTGAATGCACTCTTGACCTCCTTGTTCCTCAGGCTGTAGACTAGTGGATTCAGCATGGGGATCACCATGGTGTAGAACACAGACGCCATTTTGTCCCTGTCCATGGAGTGACTGGAGCTGGGCTGCAGGTACATGAAGATGATGGTCCCATAGAAAATGGAGACTAAGGTAAGGTGGGAAGCACAGGTGGACAGAGCCTTCTGATATCCTGAAGTTGAGTGCATTTTTAGAATAGTGATGAATATGAATAAATAAGATATCAAGATAATGAGGAGAGCAAAAAAGACATTGAAGGTTGCTACATAAACTAGAACCAGTTCATTAACATGTCTATCAGAGCAAGACAGAGCCATGACTGCTGGAACATCACAGAAAAAGTGATGGACCACATTGGAGTTACAGAAAGAGAGATTGAATGTTTCTCCAGTGTGGATGGAGGCATTCAGGAAGCCACAGACATGGCAGCCTATGGCTAACCATGCACACACACTTGTGGTCATGGTGGTGGTATAGTGCAGGGGCTTGCACACTGCTGCATAGCGGTCATAGGCCATGGAGGCCAGGAGAAAATTTTCCACAGTAGCAAAGACTGCAAAAGAGAACATCTGAGCTGCACATGCACTTTTGGAAATGACCTGGTCTTCCATAAGGAGCCCAGTCACAGCTGTGGGTGTGACAGCTGAGGAGTATCCAAAGTCCACCAGGGACAGGTTACCGAGGAAAAAGTACATGGGGCCATGGAGACCAGGGTCTACAAGAATCAAGACAATCATCCCCAGGTTGCCAACCACATTAATAAAGTAGATGACAGTGATCATGAAGAAAAGGGGGACTCGCAGTTCTGGGGCATTGGTCAGGCCTAGGAGGATGAACTCCATCACTTCTGTCTTGTTCTCCATCAGTGTTATTTGGGAATCAGAAGATGCCCTGTAGCAAAAGGAAATAAGGGACAGAGTGTTAGTAGATATCATGGCACTGATATTACACTAAAAAACTGAAATGTTTATATGCCATACGCAGTCCTTTGTTAGAACAATAATATATATCTCACGTTTACCTATATCTAAGGATGAGGATAACTACAGAACTGACTTTAATTCTCTGTAGAGTTACAAACTATTTACCTGGAAATTAAACAGTTTTCAAATTATATATACTTGTAAACAAATATTTGGTCAATTTCTTGAACTATTCACACATGTTCAAAATTTTATGTATGTATTATATTAAGAAACTAATGATATCTACTGCAGACACTATTATAAAAACTAAATGTGAAAATACAGAAAAAAATCGTTTAAATTCTGGATGGTTCATTAACCTCATGAGTACCGGCAATGATAATATAATTTAAACACAATGATGGACTATATTTACGTAGGACATGTAGGTGACAATATGCTACTCTTTAAGTGTGACTGAGATCTGAAATCTTGTCTTACATTTTAGGGTCACTTAGATTTTCTTTATACTTCCCAGGCATTCTCTGACGCTTTAGCTCTCTTATGTACCTGGAGTTTTTTTTAATTTGCCTGTTTTGTTTTTGCTTAATTTCTTTCTTGAAATCTGTATTTTAGCTTGCATTGAATGGATGTTCATTTCTTATACTAACTCCTAGTTTGTTCTCTTAGTAGTGTCTACCTATAGTTGAGTGATTGAGATTTAAGGCTGACTATAGTTTGTGGCTGGACATTAGCCTGCAGATCTGGCTTCTTTGGCAAGCTCTGACTTAGGAACATGTATTGTAACATCATACAGAATCCCATATATACATTTATTATTTGTCAACCAAAATAAAATAAAAAATTTCACCCTACTCTGTTGTTGTATAGAACAGTGTTCTGATTCTTTTTATTTGAATGGGAAGTCGTTGGACAGTTTCCATCCAAGGTGAAGTACTGTTCCCAACCATCTTCCTCCTTCATATTTGCCAGATTTAATACATACAACCCCTTTTAGCAAGTATTCAGTTCTATAATAATGATAAGAACATTATATACATGGGTGTGTGGGAGTATGTTTATGTATTATTACTTTTACCATTAAGGCAAATAAGGATTTGTGAAGTTTTGTGAAGCTTCTTAATGATACATCTAAGATGAAGAAGATTGAAGATTTAAACTCAGTTGGACATAGCAGACTTTGCTTTTAGGCAAATCGCATCAATGTGGATAGATGTGCTAAAAATTATAAGGACAAAGTTAAAGGGAATATTAAAATAAAATTCAGAACTTGCTAATTTTGGGGGGCTTTCTTTAACTTGAGGAAGGGTCCTTAGTTTTGATTGTTCTTTACCTCCTTGATGAAGTACTGTGTAAGCAAGTTGAAGCCATCACTGTCAGCCAGATCATCACCTATGGTATTGTTTGGACTAAACATTTTTTTTGCAGGGGAGCAAAATAATGATGCTACCCGAGTAACCTCTGATTCATTACTGGTGCAATTTTTGACTTTCACATCTCAGATTCACCCCTAAGGAAAAAAATTGAAACATATTTCTGTGCTGAACAAGTCAGAGTATATATGTCCCACTGCTTTTGCAGGACAGTTTTCCTAAGTGTGCGTAGCTTACCTTGCTGCTTGAAAGTGTAGAAATCTCAAAGGTGAACCTAAAATCCAAAATTCAACTATAGATTAATGTAGAAAATACAGTATAAAAGGTACATAATAGGAAACTGTAGTAGATTATAGTAGGAAGGTGGCTCTCAGGTTGTGGTCAGTGGTTCTTGGTTCTCTAAGGCAGGGTGGAAAGAATGGAAGAACGGGGATTAATATGGATTCAAGTCCTGAATCTACCATGCTTCTTTTTCTAGATCCTTAGAAGAGTCACTTACTTTTCCTTAACAGTAAAATAAAAAACAGTAAAATTACCTCCTCCACATAACACCCAGGAATGTGTTCCTAAATAACCCATAGGGGAATGTCTATGAAAACTCACTATGGGGTTATTTTCAAGTCATTCAATATATATTTTATTTTCAGGTGTTACCTTAGCCATGTTGCAGGGTGCTCGGAAGTCCTAAATTTGGGACAGGCCTGTTTGCATGAGCAACTGTCTACATTCAGATGAATAAAGGCTATTCAAGGGGCTAGGATCGAAGTCTGGTCCCTCTAAAATGAAGTGACCTGGAGTTCTGTTGAGTATCAGAAACTAGGAACAGGAAGCAGGAGTAGATTATAAAGGCACGGAGCTCTCGGGGGACTTCCCCAGGAGAGCATCTGTAGGTCTCTGCCTCTTCCCCAGGGAAGAAACAAACTGCCTGTGGGGACCAACTTGGATATTTTGAGCATGTACTGGTGGTTTGTAAATTACTCACTAATGTATAAATCGCACACAGCAATATGCACAATTTTTAGGGTAAAGTTCTAATAATTTTGTTAAATGTACAGCTATGTAACCGCTATTGAAATCACTGCATTTCCTGGGCTTCCTGTAGTCAACTTCTCTTCCACTCCGTTTCCTGTGCACTGCTAAACAAATTTTCCATGTACTTTTTCCTTTGCAAGAATGTCCTTCATCAGCATCCTAGAAATATGTGGTGTCTGATTATGGTATTAGCATAAATTCAGTTGGGGTGCAAACATTTTATGACATACATCTGTAGTGAAACACTTTTACTATGGCATTATATATCATACTTTTAACTTCACATATTATTTTTTTTATCCTTGGTTGGTTCAGGGCAATATTTGCTGATTTCAGTGGTGATTGTGAATAAAGTTGATCTAAACATTTTGTGAACACAGTTTTTTTTTCCATTTAGGTAAATAGAAATAGAAATTGGTTTGCTTGGTCATATGGTAAACATGCTTAACTGAGCAAGGACTCCCAACTGTTCATGGAAGTTGTTCTCTCATTTTTCATTCCAATTTATTCACATCTTTAAAGATTACTTTTGAACTTAATTTACTTTTACTTTTATTTTTGCTATTTCTCAAAAAAATTCCTCAAGTCCTCACAGCAAAATCTTTTATATAATATTTTATGTTTATTTATTCATAATTTTATTTTAATGATAGGTAGCAATTGAATATTTTATGAACTACAGTGCAGTTTCAGAGCAGTTATACATTCATTGTGTATAAAGAACTCAGATACATAAGTTAACAGTCATTGCAAACATCACCACTTCTTTGCGATGAGAATATTCAAAACCCTGTCTTCTAGATATTTGGAATTATATAACACAGTATTGTTAATAATAGCTACCCTGTGTGTAGTAGATTTTTTTTGTTTCTTAAAGATGTCTCTAGAGTATTTTCAGAAAAAAATATTTAAAAAGAGAAAAAGACCCAGAGCCTTACCTTATAGTCACTTTTAAGTCCTGGGATGCTTTTTTCCCTTAAAGGAGCTTGACCCACCCTGTCCTCGAATTCTGCTCCGAGGTCCCAGTCCACAGCAGCTTTATCACAAAGCTCTCCTGGCTGCAAGTGTGTGCAGTGGTTGCAAGCTGGTTCTGTGTGCTAGGACGGCTCAGCCTCAAATTGGGTAACATCACCTTTCCAAATTTCAGCTTGCATCTGTAAGGAAATGTTATCATTGATATTGAAAAGGCTCCCAAGTCTCCTGGGTGCAGAGTGGAGTTTTGGTTGGGTTTTTTTTTTTTGGTACCGGGGATTGAACTTGGGACCTTGCGCTTTCGAGGCAGGCGCTGGAACCACTGAGCTAAATCCCTGGCCCACAGAGTGGAGTTTTGGAAGGTGGCTGGAGCATGAAGGCACCAAACTCATGTGTGGTCAGGACCTTACAGCTGAGTGGGCTTTAGGAGGAGGCCCCTTTGGAGGAGGAGGGTGTGTTTCTCACTCTGGCTTTCTCCCTGGCCTCTCTGCTTCTGCCCACCGTGAGCTGAGTATCTTTCCTCCGCCAGACCCTTCCACTGCTGTTTCTGTAATTGTCAAGTATTTTATCCTAGCAACAGGAAAGCTGACTAATACAGAAAAGATTAATGATATCATCTCATCCTCAAAGGATGGCTAAGAATATTAACAGATCACACATACACAAACCAGAGAACTGCGGGAAGAATTGGTAAGTGTCATCCTGTGTGGGCTGAAGGATACACATTACCCTCCAGCTGTCTGGCTCTGGCCACAGAATTTGAGGAGGCTTCGTGTTCAATTAGGTCCAGATACAGAGGTGAAGTCCTCCTTAGCCCAAGTCTGAGAATGACTGCACAGGGAGTTCCATGCACCAAATGGCCTGTGTCAAGATTCGAACGGCTGTTTCCGTAAATGGAGACAAAAACACTGGAATTTATATGTAAGTGCAAAGGACTCTGAATATAAAAAAAAAATTGAACAGAGTAAGATTCATACTTCTGGACTCAAAATTTTATACAAATCAAAGCAATATGGTATTGCCTTAAAAATATAGACATAAACCAAGGAAATAGAATAGAGGGTCCAGAAATAAATCCGTACCTCTATAGTAGATTGATTTTTAACAAGTGTAGAATGTCCATTTTATGGGAAAAGTACCACCAAAATGTTGATTGAACAATTGGAAATTCTCACATGAAAGAATGAAGTTGGGTATTGTATACTAAAAATTAGCCAAGAGAGTAGACTTTAGAGACTCTTAATGCACACAACAACAACAACAAAGGTGATGTGTTAGTCACTTTCCTTCTCACTGGAAACTTAATACCCACAAATTAAGGAGGAGATGTTTATTTTGGCTCACATTTTTAGTTTATCTTTGGCTGGCTCCAAGACAGGGAGGATGGGATGGGGGGAGAAGAGAATGAATGTTGTGGTAACCAGGAAGCAGAGAGAGGAGCTGAGGAGAGAGATGCATCCTTCCAGGTCACCTGCAGGGACTCACGTCTGCCGACCCCACTTCCTAACAGCAAGTCAGCTATAGCTTCCCCTCCCCCAATCTAGTTACCTAAGGAACGTATGGCATGGTAACAAAAATTTGTAAATTTTGATTTGATTGGTGCAAATGAAAGCAAAGGATTCTGGCAATCACCAGATAATGAAAACAAACATGAAACCAATTCTCTCTGAATGCTTCTAGAGAATAGCTTGGTTTCTTCCTCATGAACTGGTTTTGGCCATCTGGCTTCCAGAACTGTGAAGAAATTAAATGCTTGTCACTTTTTATTCCACAAACTTATGTTTGTTACAATAACCATAGGAAAATAGTCCAAAAATTCTTATCACATTCAGCCACTGGGTTAGCATGTTCTCTGTCTGTGTTCAATTTTTTATAAACAGATGATGTACTTTTTGGTTTAACATTCACTCACTCCTTCCTTACAATCTTGTACTGAGCCCCAATCTTGTCCTAAGCATGAATCTGTTAGAGTACAAATATGTACATTTCCAAAACTTTTATTCTCCTGGGGGAGAAATCAAATATGTAGAACTTTAATTTTTGTTGGAGAAACAAATGTAAAACACACACACACAAATAGTTATATATTTTGGCCAATATTAAAAAACATTTAAAAAATTAAAAAATGTTGGCCTACTCAATATTGAGTATGCCAGCCTACATGGGCTTCCTCCCTCACTAAATCATTATTTCATTAGACACTGTTAACTCCTTGTGTAATTAATATTAGACCAGGTGCTGAGACTACATACCTAAGAGAGAAGACATGTCTGCTCTCAAAGTGCTAAGTCAGTAGAAGCTAAATCTGTAAAACAAACCAATGTAATTAATAAATGTTTCAATAGTTCCATGGGGCAAATCTGACAAATTAGATGATGTAATGAAAGGACAGGAGAAAGAACGGAAAGGGAGATGGAGAAGTCATTTTTGAGCAGCTGTTCTGTTCTGCCAGCTTGCTACATCTCAGGGTCATTTTGTCCCCATTTACATAACTGTGAGGTGGGGAGTGTTTTCCTCAGTAGAAGCTAAGAACATTAATTAACTTGCCCTATGTCACAGAGCTTAGTTCAATTGAAATGAAAATTGAGCTTTCTTCTTTGTCCAAAAGTTGTGTTAATTTTATGTGTGGTAGTAATTTTAATTATGACTTGGCAGGTGGGTAGGGATTCACAAATAAACAATTGTGAAATTAAATGTGATGGAGAAACGTGACAGTGTTTTAATTATATAGCATCTCTTCTCTGTCTCCTACCACGGACAACCAGATTTTCTCTTGGTATCTCTCCATGTTAGTGAGAGTCAACAGTACTATCTATCTCACGAGCAAAGTTCAACACAGCAGCAGGCTGACCACAGAGGCTTTCCTTGCTCACATGTTGTTCAATTGTTTGTCCTGTGGGAACATGTACATGGGCTCAGTGACTAAAGTTCCTTCTACTTAGTGGATTCATTGTCCCCTGTGGTCTGAATTCTCTTTATCCTGCTGGTGACAAAGAAAGAGAAAGCAGAGGATGACATAGGAGGGAGAATTCCATTAGAGTTGGAAGAAGAATTTGAGACTTCCAGTCATATTCATGGAGGAGGGCATAATCGCATGGCCACAATGAACCCCAGGAAAGCTGAGGAACAGAGCCTAGCTAGGAGTCCATGTGTAACAAGGAAACAGTCTAGAAAACAACTAACCAGTTGTAATACTGAGGATCATTAAATACCCATTTTACACTTCCTCCCAAACAGAAATCACATGCACTTCCCTGGGAGACAAGCTAAGTCCCAAGGAATTACTACGGTGTAGAGGGGCAATGCCCAGCTACTGAAGGGTTCAGATGATTCTGTGTGTGCCAGGCCTGGCTCCTGTGGCCCAGTACCTTAGCTCATTCTACATTCACAGCTAGTATCAAATATTGGACCAGAATAAAGATGGGTCGAAAAGAAGTCTCCCATTCATAAAAGGCAATAATCAAAGACACATTAGTGAATTTTGAGATCTTGCTGAATTTACCTTGTAAGGACCCTCAGCCTTGGTGATGGGAATAGTTCTTTATAACACTCTGATTTTTCTCTTTGAAGGGAACTTTATTTTTCACTATTTTCCTCAGATTCCTGTCCAAATTCTTAAATTTGTTTTCTTTCCATGTCCATTGTTCTCCATTACCACTTCTGAAGTGTGGTAATGAAAAAATCCATGTTCAATGGAAAGTGATAAAAGGAGGTTTATTCATAAACTAACAAGAAGAGAAATCATTTTCACCACTGTCAATTCAGCAAGAGTTCAAGGGCACTAGAAAGAAAATTTATTCAGTAAAATGAATAAACACTGAGTCAGTGTATAAGAGTGCAATTGTTTAATTAAATTGTGATATTTGAAAGTGGGAGAGATATGTGATTAGACTTCAGGTTTATTTGTCAGTCCTTAGCTTCAGGGGGGAAGCAAACAGTCTGGAGAATTTCAAAGGAAGAATTGTTCAATGTCAGGAGTCAACACTTTTTCAGAATGCTAATTTCCTGGAAAAATTGGAGTCATTATTGACTGGATGTTTTTGAAATCTACAGAGTTTTACAGCTTACTTCCACATATATAATTTGGAAATTTTTAGTTTAAAAAATGCAAATTAAAAAGATTTTAAAATCAAAGCTCACAGTATTATTTTCAGTGAAATAAGCAAAAAACACCATGCCTTACAGGGAGTTTCCATTCAAGTTGAGGGACATAAATCATCACATGAACAAACAAATGTCAGTGCTGAATATTGATATGATTCTGAAGAATGAAACAAGAAGAGGAAAGGATGTCCATGGAAGGGGAAATGACCCCTGTACAAAGTGACTAAAGGGAGGTCTCTGTGGCCTTGGAGTGGACAGAATGAAAGCAATGACCTCAAAATATTCCAGCTAGACAGAAGAGCAAACTTGGAGCTCTGAGGCAGGCATGGCAGGAGTTCTCCAGGAACAGTCAGAAATCACTGTGAAGGTAATGGGTGAACAGGTTGGAGAGTGGTAAGACTTATATCTAGCTCACCTGGAGCACCAATAAAGGCAGTAAACACTTCAGAGCATGTACTTCTTCAGACATAGAGAATAACGTTATTGCTAATATCACTGCATTTTCATTTATTTACTTATTCCTTTTATCGATATTTTGGTGTGAGAATTATATTCACCTTGCAGAATAGAATTGAAGATGCAGAAAGAACCCCAGGCACCTTCAATTGTCTTATTTTTAACAAGGAAGCCAAAATGTATGCCAGAGAAAAGATAGCTCACTCTTTTTATAAAAACAAAATGGGAAGAGTTGGTAGTCATTAACCATATTTTCCCCACATTTATTCTAATATAGCTATTTATCTTTTGGAAACAGTAACATGAGTATGCTTTCTCTTACCAAATCACTCCATAATAGCTGAAACAATAATTTATTAAATTGCTATAATTATTTATAACTGGATAATATATGTCAACAAAAGTCTCACACAGTTTATTAAACAGACTTATTTTAAAATTATCATTTTTTTATTTTGCATGAGAGCAGCCATTACTAAACTAAAAAAATTAGTAGCATTAAATATGAATTTGTTTTAATTCCCTTCATGGCCATAAACATTTCACTTATTGGACTGAGTAGGTCTTAGCAGGGTGAGATAACTCATTGTGGATTCTACATGACTAAATGACTAAACCCAGAGAATATTTTGCCTTTTCAGCAGCTTTCTTGAGTGCACTCTTGACCTCCTTGTTCCTCAGGCTGTAGATCATAGGGTTCAGCATGGGGATCACCATGGTGTAGAACACGGATGCCATTTTGTCCGTGTCCATGGAGTGACCTGAGCTGGGCTGCAGGTACATGAAGATGACCGTCCCATAAAATAGAGAAATGGCAAGGAGGTGGGAAGCACAGGTGAATAGAGCCTTCTGGTATCCCTTACCCGAGTGCATCTTCATAACTGTGGTAAGCACCAACAGGTAACAGATTAAGATAATAAGAAGTGCAAAAAAGATATTAAAGCTTGAAATAAAAAATAGAATCAGCTCATTAATGTGTTTATCAGAACAAGCCAGAGTCATGACTGCAGGAATATCACAGAAGAAGTGATGGACCACATTGGTCATACAGAAAGGGAGGCAGAAGGTGTCTCCAATGTCAATAGCAGCAGTCAGAAAACCAGACACGTAAGAGCCGATGGCCAGACGAGCACACACTTTCCTTGTCATGATGGCAGGGTAGTGCAGGGGCTTACACACCGCTGCAAAGCGATCGTAGGCCATGGCGGCCAGCAGGTAATTCTCCACAGTGGCAAAGAGTACGAAGAAGAACATCTGAGCAGCACAGGCATAGTAAGAAATAAGTTTGTCGTCTGTGAGCAAACCAGCCAAAAGCTTTGGGGTGACTGTTGAAGAGTAGCAGAAGTCCACCAGGGACAGGTTACTGAGGAAGAAGTACATGGGAGTGTGCAGACGGGGGTCCAGCAGGCTCACCACGATCATGCCCAGGTTCCCTGTCAGAGTGACCAGGTAGATGAGCAGGAATACCGCGAAGAGGGGCAGCTGTAGGTCTGGGGCGCTGGTGAGTCCTAGCAGGATGAACGCACTCAGCCCTGTGGTATTCTTCATGGGCAAGCCTTGAGGGTGGAAAGGTAGTCTTCAGCAAAGAGGGTGAAAGCACACGGTTGAACAAAAATCACCTGCACAGAAATTTAAACGTGTAAGCATTGTTTTATAACAACGTTTTCATTATTCTTCCTGTGTAAAGCATGCAATGACAATGTAGATTACTTATCTATACAGTAATGCTCTTGAAGAAGCATTATCCTCATGGGTCACCTTCCCACTTTCTTAATTTGATGTATGTGTAAAATAAGTTGCAGGAAAGGTGAACGAAGTGTCCAAGGCCACATGCCGAGAATAAGTCTGTCTCTCCTTTAAGATGCCTTGAATCTAACAGCTCAAGTTTCTAAAGTTCTCATGCACAGCGCATGATATACATCTACACAGGTATTAAAGGCCAGAACCAAGCTTTAGAACCCGCTATAGTATTTTCCAACATATATACTCTTTTTTTTTTTTTTTTGGTAGCAGGGATTGAACTTGGGATCTTGTGCTTGCGACACAGGCGGCGGAACCACTGAGCTAAATCCCCAGCCCCCAACATATATACTCTTAATGAATTTGATTTGACTTTTGAATTTAAAAGAATTTTAAACTCATTCAAGAGACATAAAAATTATTACATATCAATAGAGTAGCATAGTGTTTTGATTCGTGCATAATGTATACATTGTGTAATATTTATTTCATGGTAAGCATATTTATCTCCTCTTTTATCATTTCCTCACAATGAATATGCTTTAATTTCATTAAAATCACATTTAATTCTTGTCTCCATTGTGTCAAGCCTGTGCATGGAGTTGCACTTCATAGAAATTCACAACTAAATGTGCAGTAGATGCAGAGGAGCTAATACAACATTACAGGCCTTACAGCCAATTGAATCTATTCTGAAGAAAAAGTACAGCATCACAGATAAATCTAGGGCTCTGGGCATATAAGGCATAATCATATTTGCGTATAAGCTCCATCTCTCAATACCTGAGATACTTTTGTTATAAATTAAGCTTTCTGAGCCCCATTTTACCCTTTAATGAAATGCAAGTGGTGTTAGGAACTGTCAAAGGATTAGCGTGAGAGTTAAATGAGACAATGCATGAAAACAGATCAGCGTGGGTTGCAGCACAAAGCTAATGAGTGTGAGCTCTAATATTATTAGTAGAAACGGCATTTCTTATGTTGGCTCGGGAAAGTGGCAGCATGGAGGTGGATGGGATTTAATGTCCTGTAGCCTTGGTCTTTGATTTACCTTTTCCTAGTCATTGTATCCACACAGGTCTTTTATTTCCTCACTCTGCTTCTTCTCCCCGTGAGTTGCTGTTGATGTTGATGACCATTTTGCATGACAACTGAGGAACTGGAAGACCTGTTTTGCTTAATATCTGACTTGAGACCCACATTTTGGCTTGCATTGAAAGACTCCCCTTCTTAGAATCTTTCTCATTGTCTTTGTTCTCAATGCTAAGCACAGTTACAGATAAATAGAGACTGCAAATTTGCAGTCTGGAGGAGCGGACACTAATTGTTCATGGGTCAGCATAATGTTTTAGTTTTAAAATCTGTATTTTCAGCTTTGAGAACAATATACATTCTTTAGTAGACACTATTTAGTGCCTTCCACTTGGGCCCTAACACACCATTTACGTGTGTGCACCTTAAATTGGTAGTATTTGTCGATACTTTATTTTTAGCATTATGTATTATATAAGCTATGATTACATTATAAATAGCTTATGTAATACACACATATGTAGCTTACATAATGCATATATATCCATTTTCTATCCATGATCATTAACATATTCACCATGGGCTTCCTCTATAGAGGCTCACTATCTTAAAATTTTTAACTTAGTCACATTTTCACAGCCCCTTTTACCATGTGGAGCAATGTGGCCATAACTTCCAGTGATTATAAAGTGGTCTGTTTTATAGTCATTATCTGGGCTACCACAGTGTGCATGAAAATGAAATACAGTCATTACGTTTTCACAGCATTAGAGATTGTTAAGGCTGAGGAATCTGCAAATCATGCAGCCCATTTTCTAAGTGCATGTCTGTAAAAGAGATGCAGAAAGAGGTGTAAACATGTCCTGGCTCATATACCTGGGGGGACTTCCATCTCCCAAAGCAGAGCTTCTCATCTTAGTAACAGCTGAAACACTGCTCAAAGGCCATTTCTTTCATAGACAGATACATGGATACTATGTAGATATAGGTATGGGTAGATAGAAGTGGAAGAGGAGACAGTGTGTTATACACACATAAATTAATATAACCTCACTTGTTAAGGAAATAGAATATTTGAATTTACATGCTTCTCTAAAATTCTGTACCTACAACAAGATATTAAAGATACAAATCCATATATAACTGAGCATTGAATGTGCCTTTAATTACTACATTTCAGGTTTCCTATATGAACAAGAAAATGTGAGTTTTGGGGAATTAAAGTGAAAGGGAATATAGATCCTGTGAGTTAAATGATGAACTTTCCGGTGACTAACTGTGTCATTTAGCCCTGTTTTGGTGAACTTCCCCCTTTGACAGCACCACACATTCTAGACAGGAAGAAGTTACCGCTTGCTCAGTGAGACCATAATCTGTCATAGGTTTTGCTCTTCCTGGTAAGGAAGGCAGCATGCCATTTCATAAGTACTGTACTGTATCCAGAACAAATTATTCTTGAGTCCTATACCCAGGAAAGTGTTTAGGAAAGTGTTTAAGGAAAAGTATTTAGCCAGATCTAAGTTTAAAAGCCCACAGAATATGCTGTAGCTGATCCAGTTGCTTCTGGATTAACTTCATTTTCATTACAAATGTTTATTGAATATGGAAGCTTACCTTGTACCTTGAGAAGAAGGGAAAGGGAATCTTGCATTGTGTGTCTGAAATCAAAAATTCATCTCTGAAAGAATGAATAAATAATATTGGAGAAACTCTCTCAAGAAGTAGTCGAAATGACCCAATGTTCCTGATGCATAAATGGAAATATCATAAACATGGAGTTCGGAAATGCATCTTTCAGCCTTGTATCAGTCGTGAATTTAACTGTATACTCAGAAGGGTTATTTTATATTCTGCTGAGCCCAGTTTCCTAATTTGCAATTTAAAAATAATGAAACAGACCTTCCTATATACATTACAGAATCGTGTGTGCATAGCAAGTGAAGATGAGTATGTAAGATCTTGGTGAAGCATTACTCTCTGCATGAACCAATACAGTTTTCTTCTTTGGGTTCTTTCCCTGTCTGTGGTTGCAGACTCGGTGCATGTATTCAGTTAGGGGAAAGGCTACAGTGAAATAAAGTCTTAGCCTTCATTTCAATAAACAACCACCATAGGCTCCGTGCAGAACCTGGACTCTTTAAAATAACGTCATGTGGGGTCACTCTGGGATTTCTGGTGAATGGGTCCAGGTGGGCAGGCATGGGGTTCTCAGGGGAACGTTCCTCGGCAGAGGCCCAGCACCTCTCCTAATCCATCCTGACCAGGCGAGAAGCCATTAACCCATGTGCAGAAACATGGTGTGCTGTGTCGAGTAGCACAGGTGTGCATCCACATTACCTTCACTGTGGCCTGAAATCCGAGCCCAAATAAACTTCTTCTTCAAGTTGTGGGTGTATTTTGGTATTTTGTTGCAGCAGTGTGGGATGTAACTAAGACGCCTGCAGAGTAGAAATAGTAAGAGTGATCTTTATCAGATACATGGCTTGTAAACATTTTCTCCATCTACAGGCTGTCTTGTCATTTGCTGATTGTTTCTTTTGCTGTGCAAAAGCTTTCTTGTTTGATATAGTTCACTTTAGTTTTGCTCTTTGTTGCCTGAGCTTTGATGTGATATAAAAAATATCATTACCAAGGACAGTGTCAAGTAGCCCTTCTCTTTCTAGTCTTCTGAGTGTCATGATTTCAGATGTTAATGTTTAGGGCTCTTATCCATTTTGAGTTGATTTTTGTGTATGGTGCATAATAAAGGTCCATTTTATTCTTTTGCATGTGGAAATACAGCTTTCTTAACAGCATGACAAACAATTATATTTCTCTATTGTGTCTTCTTGGTGCCTTTGTAGAAAACAAGTTAATCTTATATATTTGGGTTTATTTCTGGGCTGTCCTTTGTGTTGCATTCAGCTATGTGTCTGTTTTTCACTTTTTATACCTCAAAATTTAAAAAATTATTTAAATTGACAAATAGTAATATATGACTCATACTTGCAAAGGATGTAATTATATATGTACTTATGAAGCACAATGTGGCGAGAATAATGGCTAAGAGACCAGACATGGAGGGGTGGATGACAAAAGGTGGGTGCTGATCAAGGACTCGAAGATTCAGTGAGACAGGAGGAACAAGATTTAGTATCAATTTCACATGGTCCATTTCAAAATTTCTGAAGGAGCAGACATTAAATGCTTTCATCAGAACTTAATAACCATGTCTGTTTTTATGCCAGAATATTGTTTTGCTCATTATAGCTTTGTAATATAATTCAAAATTAGGATGTATGGTGACTCAAAATTTTCTTTCTAGGATGATTTTGACTTTTGGGGTTTTTTTGTGATTCTGCGTGAATTTTAGAAGTGTTTTTCTATTTTGGTAAGGTGTGCCATTATAATTTTGATAGAGATTTATTGAATTTGTATATTGCTTGGAAAGTACGGACATGTAAACAACATCAATTCCTTACATCTGTGAACATAGAAAACCTTAGCACTTATTTATGTTTCTTTCAATTTCTTTCATTAGAAATTCATACATTTCAGTAGTTTTTTGACTTCCTTGGTTAAATTTATCCCTAAATTTTTCTTTCTTGTTGATGCTATTTAAAATGGGATTCTCTTCTTGATAGGTTATTAATTCTGTACTGAAATGCATCTGCTTTTGAACTTTACTTTTCTATGCTGAACTCATTCATTAGTTGTAACATCTTTTGTTGATTTTGGGGGGGTTTCTATATATAGGATACCTGCCACAACACTCCCTTGCAGCCACAAGAGGCCCCTGGTGTCAATGGTATTGGTGCAGATGGGGACTAGGGACATGTCCTCCGCAGTCCAGAGCACTGCCATTGCTCCAAGCCCCATCACCAGTGCTCACCTAGGGGAGACCGAGGAGATGTCCACTCTGTCCATGTCCCTGGTGCCACTACCCACACTGCCCAAAAAGCCACACAGTGGGTGCTGCATCCCGACTCTTGTGCATCACACCCACCGTGGCTACTAGAGAGCTCCAACCTCACATGTCCCTCAGAGATGGGTGGTGTCTCTGACCCAGACACCACACACACAATGCTCAAATCCACCATTTACGGATACATGAAGGAGTGACAGGGAGATTGCTGGAACCAATGTCCAGTGCCTCCCAAACTGACACCCTAAGACAGCAGTCCTGGATGGAAGCCAAAGTCCCTTTTTATCGCCAAGGATTAATTTCACGGAAGTGAATTTTTGCACAGAGTGTGGTGGGAGGTGGGGTGAGGGTGGAGATGGTTCCTGGATAATTCAAGCTCATTACCTTCACTGAGCACTTTATTTCTATCATAATTACATTGTAATACATACATTCTATGCTATTGTTGCATTGTAATATATAATGACATAATTGTATCCCTCACCATAAAGCAGAATACAGAACCAAGCTTTTTTCCCTGCGACTAGATGGTCCCCTCTGAGGATGATGGGAGACAGTTCACAGTAGGTCGACACTCCATTGAGAAGAAGCTAATGCCAACACTGCTCTGCCAGGAGTGGGCACTCAGGTGGTAGCAGAGTGATGGGGAGCTATGGCTGTGCAGCCTGCTCCTAACTGGGACTCCTTCCCTCAGGCATCTTCAGGAGAAATTCCTTCACTATGAAAGCTACCGCACAAAATGTGTGGAGTCAACTTATCGGCCAGATGCAAATGTCAACAATAAGGACAAAAGAAATATGAAAAAACAAGGCAACATGGCACATCCAAAGGAACATAATAACTCTTTACAACAGTCCTCAAAGAACATGATATTGATGAAATATTTGATAAAGAATTCAAAAGAATGATTCCAAGGAAACCCCATGAGATACAAGGCAATAGAGATAGACAATTTGATGAAATTAGGAAAACAATTTATGGTATGAATGATAAATTAGCAAAGCAATAGAGGCTGTTGAGAAATGCTGTGGGTTGGATGTGATTTGGCCACTGAAGCCAAGCAGAAGTTTAAACCCCAAATCATAAGTTAATGATTTAGGGAGTAGAAACCTATCCGACTACGGTGTTTAGAGGTGAATCCTTTGGGAACTGATGAGAATTCAAGAAGGTCCTGGGATGTAACTTCATGGCTGAAACCTGATGGCAGTGGGAGGAAGAGAGACCACACAGACAAACATGATGTGCTCTTTCCTTGCCACATGACACTCTTTGCTACCTTTGTACTCTGTCAGGAGGAAGCTAGCACCACATGAGACTCCTTGATCTTGAACATGCAGAACTATGAGTCAAAATGAACCTGTTTCCTTCATAACATAGTCTGCCTCTACAATTTCATCACAGTAATAATGTGGGCCAAATAGAAGAGACACTCAAAACAAATTAGATGAAGGAGAAGGAGGAATTTTTAAATGGGAAGACAGCTCTTCTGGAATAGCCATGTGAAACCAGAGAAGAAATTAGTGATAATGATAAAGACAGCTCATGAAGGGAAAGGCAGAACAAATACATACAATGGAATAAGAGCACAAACTTCCCAATGGTGGGACAGATAGGAAATTCTAGGCACATGGGCTCTAAGGGTCTCAGACAGGTTTGGCCAAAACAGAACCTCACCACGGTAGCGTAAAGTCAAACGGTCAAAGGTCCAAGACAGAGAGAATTCTAAAAACAGCAAAAGAAAAAAATCAAGTTATACTTAAAAGACACTGTGCCAGATAACTACTGCAAAACCACTGCATGAACTTGGTCAGGATGTGGACTGTTTCTTTATGGGGAAAAGTGATATGTGCTCCACCTTTTACAGTGAGGATTAACTAAGACAATGTGAGAAAACAAAAACCCAATTAGACTAAACCTGATTTCTCAGCAGAAATCTTACAGGCCAGGATTAAACAGAATGACATATTCAAAATTCTAAATGAAAAAAGAACTGCCTGTCAAAACTACTGTAGCTACTATGCTTTATTTCAGGAATAGAGAAGAAATAAGGACTTTCCAAGACAAGTGAAAAACTAGGAATTCAACCCCACTAGATTGACCTTACAGAAGATGCTTAAGGAAGTCCTATATCTGTGTGAGAAGCATAAGCATCAGAAAAGTGCGTGAAGTTTAAAAACTCACCAGAAGAGCAGATACACGAAAGAGAAAATGAATGAAACCTTATCAGTACAGAAAACTACTAAACATTGGGAATAAGACTGCAACTAAGTAAGGTTCTCAAGTGATTCTCTACAGAGACATGAGTTTGAGTAACGGAAATGCCCTACACTAATTTCAAAAGAGCCAAGGAAGCCAGGAGAGAGGCCATGGTGCCTGGTTTGAGCACAATAGACACACTGAAGAAACCAGGAGGGGGAGCATTGTTTACATAACCCTTCCCCT